AAGCCAAGAGTGGGAAATGGCTCAGGGGAAGAGATGTCAGCTGGCTCTGCCGACAGTCCCTGGCCAGTGGTGACACCTGAGAGCCTGCCACTTGGAGAGGGCCTGCCTGTTGACGTGCTTCCCTCCTGGGTACCTATGTCTGATTTTGTCCTTGGGTATCTCCTGAGCAGGAAATGAGCTTACCAGGCAGGGTGGGGTCATGCTTAAGGGCTTCCGCAGAAGGTGGGAGGCGCTCCTGAGCTGCCTCTTTTAGAAGAAGAGAATGCCTTAAAAGGCATCCAAACTTGGTCTGTCTCCTCAACCAGAGGCATAGTGAAACTTGGGCAGTGGCCACCTGTATGTCCCTAAGTCCTCTGGTGTTGGGGGTCACGCTTCTTGTTGACGTTTTTTAAGAAGTGGCTTAAACCCTATTGTGGAGAGTAACCCCATAAACTCCAGAGATTGGCGGGCATGCGTGCGTGCGTGCATGCATGCATGTTGTGTCTGTGTAGTGACCTACATTTCCCTGGCCATCTCTTGCTCTGATTTCTGGCTTTGGTAAAGGCACCAACTCAACATCTTCTCTCCTGCCTCCTCTTGACTCCCTGCCACTGACCCAGTGGGAAGGACACTCTGTGCCTCCTAAGCCCCTTGTCCAAAAACCTGTGTTTATATATAAGCCACCTGTCTGGGGGAGGGCGAGGTGGGTATCATGGGACAGGGACTTCAGACCACTGCAGCATAGCAAGCAGATTCAAATTCTTGCACCTGTGTCAAGAAGCACCGCCCCCCGCCCCCCACATACACCATGGCCCCTGCACAGGCTTTTCCTGTGCTCTTAGCACCTCTGCCCTCGTCCTTTCTCCAGCTGCACCAGGACACTTGTCTTCCTGTGTAAATATGCAGTCATTTAGTTCTGTCTGCTCAGGGCATCTGCCATACGCTGGCCCACTCAGGGTCAGAGGAACACGGCCAAAAATCTCCAAGAGGTTCCCCTGTCAGCTTTTATGGGGCACATTACACATCCCTTTCTGCCACCCCCACCTTTCTTTCCTTTCCTTCCCCTTCCTGTCCTTTCCTGATGCTATTGGCAGTAAGAGAAAGTCAAGGACATAGAACTCTAGAGCTCAATGGCTCTACCTTCCCATTTAAAAATGTGCTTACTCTATTTACATTTTTATGTTTGATTTTTTTGCCTGCATGTATGTAAGTGTACCGCGTGTGTGCAACATCCATGAGGCCAGAAGAGGGCATCAGATCCTCTGGAACTGGAGTTAAGGATGGTTGTTAGCCACCATATGGATGCTGGAAACCAAACCCAGGTCCTCTGCAAGAGCAGCCAGTACTCTTATTTTTGGTCTTTTTTGAGACAGGGTCTCTCAGTAGCCCCAGCTGGCCTGGAATTCACTATGTAGACCAGGCTGGTCTCGAACTCACAGAGATCCACCTCCCTCTTCCTCCTGAGTGCTGGGACTAAAGGCGTGCACAACCACGCCTGGCTGAGCAGCCAGGACTCTTAACTGCTGAGCCATCTTTTGAGCTCCCAGCCTCTCTCCCCCCATTTTACCCAAGGGGAAACTGAGGCCAAGAGAAGGAAGTGACCTGCCCAGTGGCAGAGTGGGACTAGAGTCCAGCTTTGATTCTTACTCCAGGCTGCCCCAGGCCCTCATTCTGCTGCCCAGACTCTACTAAGCTACAGGCACCTGGGGCCTGCACTGGCCTTTGGGCTATTCTGTAGCCTGGGTAGTGGGGCAGGAGCATGGGGGGGGTGATATGGAGGTCCCATGATGGGTGGGTACAGGCAGTGAATAGTGTCGCAAAAGAAGCTTGAGCTAGAGTAGGTGGTGGGGACAAAGGGGCAGAGGGCTGGACGAAGCATCCAGGAAGCTCCGCAGGACCCTGGAGGCCATGGCATGGGCTTTCTGAGCTGCTAACCAAGACACTGTGGGCCCTTCGGGACCGAGTGCTCTGGTTAGGCAGCTCCATAGTCTAGAGTGGTCAGCTGTGTGGTCTGGTTTTTCTTTCTCGTGCTTCTCCTGTTGGGAAAGGGCTACCACAGATAAAGCTATGAGCTGTGGTCCACCAGGACTGCCCAGAGAAGCTGAGCAGACTGCGCACTGCACAGTTCCTCAACACCCATCAGCTATCCGCAACACAGGTGGCACACTTTGGCTCTGCAGGGTAGTGGCCAGGTCAAAACTTCCCCAGTCCCCCTCTTTTACAGGTTGAAGTGACGGTCCTCAGCATCTTTTTGATGCTTCAAGCACTGGCTGAGCACTGGGTGTTGTGTTTGGAGGGTGGACTCCGAGAGCAGATGGGTTTGAAAGAATAATGGTTGCCCTGGTCTCTGTGAGCCTGGGAGAGAGGGAGCTGCTTTGGTCTTGTTGGCCCATTAACTGATTCACTGATTGCATGTGAGTGAGCAGGAGAGGGGTACAGTGGGGAGAAACCCCAAGGTTGCTTTATCTAAGGTTATCGTGAGATTTCCCGACTTATCATTAGAAAAGCCCACTTAGACGAGGGCTGTAGCTCACTGTTAGAGCACCTGCCTAGCATGCATGAGGCTCTGGGCTCAATCTCTAGCATCACAACGAAACAGAGAAATAGTCATCTTCCTAGAACTGAAAGACCTTTTGCTGTTTCTGTTACTGAGGGACAGAGAACACAGCATTCTTCCTCCCCTCTGTCCTCCCTCCCCCATTTCCCCTAATATCCTGGGGAGCCTCTGGGACACCGATTTCCCTCCTCTTCTCAGCTCCCCGTCTCTCACCGGCCCCCCATTCGTGGCTGTTCTTCAGGGCCAGGGCCAAGTCTCTATGGACCATGTCTTTTCTGCTTTTGATGTTTAACTGCTGTTTCCCAGGTGAGCCTGTGAGATCCATCTGGGCTCCTGTGGCCTCCCCCTGACCTCAAGCAGGTGCCAATGGCCAGGGAGCCCAGCCAGAGGAGCCCAGCAGCCGGCAGTGTCTGGGCCTGGCAGAATGAGGGAGAGGGACAGAGTTCTAAGTGGCCCTGTGGCAGGAGGCCCTGTTGCTTCCTCTCCTTGACTGGCGTGTCACCTTCAGCCCTCCGTTCCCTTTGCCTTCTGCCTCTTGTTCTCAGAGACTCTTGTGTGTGAAGGGACACTAGACTGCAGACAGGGCTCAGTTTTCTTATCTTGAGTTGGGGCCAAGAGCAGAGGGGTGACTTCCCCAGCTCTGCTTGATTCTGGAGCCTGTTGGCACACTCTGGTACTTTCTGAGAAGCAGGTGCTGTTGGCACCCCTATCCCTCAGTTCTTTGTCCTCCACTACACATAGTACAGACTTCCAGTTGCCAGTACTAGGGGGCAGGTGGAAACTGCCAGAACACAACCAACACCTAGTGCCAGAGCATACATAACTGCTGCAGCTCCTGGTGCCCAAGGTGGGGTGACCCAGGGCACCCCCATACTGGCTCTGGCTTCCCCAGCAGGGCCAGGCTGTGGCTGCTCAGGGTGGCAATGGCCTCTGTGTTGTCTCCCTACCTCCACTCTCCTGGTAGCCACATACCCTTCCCCTACTGAGCTTGTCTTTACCTCCCAAATGAATGACTCTCTCTAACCCTCATCTTAGGGTCTGCTTTTGGGGATCCCAAGCATTGACATCCTCCCTGCCCAACCTTGCCTGGGTGGCTCAGAAACACTGTGGTTTGTGTCTCTGCATGTTTGTTGAGTGGCTTAGAGCTTGACTGAAGTGGTTTGGAGGGAGTTGAGCCAGGCCTCACATGGAGAAGGGTCAGAGAGGTGATCAAGGGGGATCGGGGTGGTTAGAGGGGTCTTGGTAGGTGGGTTTACTAGTTTGCTTTCTATTGCTGTGATAAAATACTCTGACCAAAACCAACTTGGGGGAGGAAAGGGTTTATTTAGCTTACACATCTTTGTCACAGTTCATCATCGAGAGAAACCAGGCAGAAACCAAAGCAGAACAGGAACCCAAAGGCAGGATCAAGGAGGCAGGAGTCTGGAGGGAGGAACCAGGAGGCAGGAGCCTGAGGGAGGAACCCGGAGGGAAAAACCTGGAGGCTTAAGAACCCAGAGGCAGGAACCAACACTCAAACCATGGAAGAACACTACTTACAACTTGTTCCTCTGGCCTGCGCTCAGCCTTTTTTTTATACAACACAGGACCACTTGCCCAGGGCTGACACCACCCATAGTGGGCTGGATCCTCCCACATCACTCAACAGTCAAGAAAATGCCTCACAGACATGCTGCAAGTCAATCCAAAAAAGGAAATGTCCCATTTGAGGTTCCCTCTTCCCAGGTGTGTCAGGTTGACAACCGAAGCTTCCGGCAGTGTGTGTCATTCACTGGGTTTATTCACAGGGTTTTCCTGGCCTGGGTTGAGGGACGCGGGGGTAGTAAGTACCTTACCCTAAGAAGTCTGAGACTCAGGACAAGGACATCTAACAAGGGATTCAAAGAAGTGGAAGGAGAGGGTCAGGACTCAGAGGCAAGGCAGGGGTGAAGGCATGGAACAAACAACAGGCCTCGGACCCCTGGAACACAGGCTGTTCCTGACAGAATTATACAAGGAACAGAGAAGGTTCCAGAGTCCCAGGTCCAGAGTTCCAGTCAACAAATGTAGGCTTGGCCTGGGGGTTATAACACTGGAGGACAAGTGTCATGATGGCTAACAGCTTGATCAGGAAATTCTATCTGGAGTAAGGTATGGGGATTCTGGGGTTCCCCTTCAACAAGGGTCTTCCATGCTATCACAGACTCTTGCTGTGCCCAGGGCACCTTAGAGTTCTACCTCTAGTTGCATTGTACAGTCTGTAAACCTGAGGCCAGAGAGGTAGTAAAAGTTCCCCAGGTTGCACAGCAGGGAGGGAGCAGGTTGGCTCAGCATATCATCTACAGATGGTATAATAAAGGGTCCTGCCCTGCAGGGTGGGAGCTGAGGGGCACACTCTGCCGACCCCTCCCCTTCAGTGGCCTGGGAAGGTAGAGTGAGGCTGGGGGTCGGGCTTCCCCTGACCGTGCCCACACTCTGCCCACAGTGCTAGGTGGCTCCGAGTCCCGAGGTGTCCTCCGCAAGATGAGCGAGCTGCTGGAGCTGATGGTGAAGCGCATGGACATGCTGGCCAGGCTGGAGAACAGCAGCGAGTCACACCATATGGCCAGTGATGCACACTTAGCTGCAGACAGGTAAGAGGACTTGGGGTTGCAGCCCAGAGCTGGGGGTGCCATTGGGTTGCTGGGAGTACAGCACAGTCTCAAATGTGCCTTTGGAGCTCAACCAAGGTTCCCTTTCTGGTAAACTAGTGAAAATTTGAGAATGCCAAAAACAGGGATGGGGAGATTGCTCAGTGTGTAAGAGCGTTTGCTGTATAACCAAGAGGACCTGAGTTCAAATCCCTACCACCTGCGTAAAAGGTGGGTGTGACCATGCTGATGGGTAATCAACCCCAGCGCTGTGGGAGGTGGGGATAGGAGGATTGCTGGGTCTTGCTGGCCACCAGCCTAGCTCCTGGTTCAGTGAGAAAGCCTTTCTCAAGGGAATAAGGGGCGGTGGGGGGTGGGGGGCATAACAGAACAGGAGAGCTGACAGCTCTAGTCCCTACACACGTGTATACACACATACCCTGACATCCCGCACTGCACCTCACCAAACAAAACCAAGCACATCCAGAATGCAGGCTCCTCATCCCTGACTGAACAACCATTAACATTTTGTCCCGTCTGTGCACTGTCTTTGTCCTCATTAAACAAAACATCACCAGTGAAAGCTAGTCTCTTTCTATTTCCTGGAGCAGTTTCCATCCTTGATGTCAAGTTCTCTCCATCTGTTCTAAGTGCTTTGAACATTTTTTTTTGGTTTTATTTATTTTATTTTATGAGCATGAGTGTTTCTCTGCACGTATGTAAATGCATCACATGCATACACAATGCCTGTGGAGGGCATTTGATTTCTTGGAACTGGGTTAGTTCCAAGACAGTTATTAGCTGTCATGTGGGTATTAGAAACTGATCCTGAGTCTTTTGCAGGGCTCTTAACCACTGAACCATCTCTCCAGACCCCTAAATTCTTTTTTACACACACTTTGTATACACTGTGTGTAGGCTGGGCGTGGTTGGCACACACCTTTAATCCTAGCCCTCAGGAAGCAGAGGCAGGCAGATCTCTGTGAATTCAAGGCTAGCCTGGTCTACATAGATCCTTTCTCAAAAAAAGCAAGAACAAAAACAACAAATAATACATTTTGTGTTGTGTGCCTCCTATTATGTGCGTATGTGTGTTTGTGCATCGTGCGTGTGGCGTGTATGTGTGTGCGTGTGCGCATGCGCATGTGTGTATATGTGTTTTGAGATGCTATCAGGCTCAGGTTGGCCTTCATCTCACAATCTTCCTGTTTCAGCTTCTGGGGTGCCAGGTTCAGAGGCACAGACCACTGGTGAAGCTGGGTGCATTTTATTGTTATTGTTTTGTTGAGTCAGGATCTCCCTGTAGCCCGAGCTGGCCTGGAACTTACTATGTAGACCAGGTTGGCCTCTATCTCACAGAGATCTACCTGCCTCTGCTTCTAGAGTGCTGGAATTAAAGACCTGTTGTCACCACATCCAGCCTAGATTTTTTTTTAAATCTTTTTCTTCTTAACTTTTAGCTAAGTTTTATTTATTTATTTTCTGTGGGTGCACATGCATGATGCTGTGTGTGTGCAGGTCAGAAGACAACTCATGGGAGTTGGTTCTATCACTCCACCATGTGGGTCCTGGGGATCAAACTCAGGTTGACAGGCTTGAAGATGATGCCTTTATCTGCTGAGACATCTTTATCCATTTGTGAAACTTTTCATATCTATTACTTTACAAATCAGAAATTTCTTTGTTAGAGTCTATGCCCTGATTTTTTTTTTTTCCTTCTGTTTTTGAGACAGGGGCTCATATAGTCCAGGCTGGCCTCAAACTCACTATGTAGCCAAGGATGACCTTGAACTTCAGATCTTTCTGCCTCCACCTCCTGAGTGCTGGTATTGCTTCGTGTACATGCCCATTTGATGCAGTGTTGGGGATCAAACCCAGGGCTTCAAGCATCTTAGGCGAGCACTCAGATAGTTGTTAGCCATGATGTGGGTGTTGGGAACCAAACCCAGGTCCTCTGCAAGAGCAGCCAGCACTCTACTAACCGAGTCACATTCCCAGCCCTTGTGCTCTGGTTCAGAAAAATGTTCACACTGACATCACAGTGCTGGAACCTGGGCTTTGGTGGAACATCATGTGCAGGGCCTGCCACAGACCTGTGCTCACACAGGATCTCTTCCCTGGCAGAGAGCTGTGCCTCCTTGGTACTGCTCAGCATGTGCCGGGTCCCTACTTAGAGATGGTGTCACCTAGGATTTAGCATCAAGCAGGATAAATAAGAGAAATTTGCTCATGAGCTGAGCGTTGGGGCTACCAAGAACTCTGCAAAGTTCCTATGGGGGAGGCCAGCAATAACCCATAAAAAGGAGCTTAGGAGATATCTAGATACTGATACAGCCTCCAAAGGATTAGCAAGTGGGTGACTAGAAGAGGGATTTTCACATAAGGTGGCTTGTGGGGTTCGAGCTCAAAGGTAAATGAGCCAGCAACACAGGGAACCAGGAATAGGGAGTATGAGGTCACAGCAAACGGAAAGGCCCTGGGGTTGGCATGTGGATGGGGAAAGGTGACGTGAAAGTCGATATGGCCGAGAACAGTGAGTGTGAAGAATCCGGCAGCACCGGGCCATGTGGGGTTGGCCGCTGGAGCCCTGAGAAGCTGCTGGACTTACTTAGTTCTGATTTTGCGTGTGTGTGGTATTCATGTGTGTGTGTGTTGTATGTGGGTGGGTGCATATGTGTGTGTACAGGTACATGAATGTCGGAGTGCCTGTGGAGGTCCAATGTTAAGGTCCACTTTATTTATTGAGATAAAATCTCTTCCCTTGAACCCAGAATGCACCGATTCCCACTGGTTTAACCAGCCACCTTGCCCCACTCTGACCCCTGAGTGCTAGGATTGCAAGTGGCCACCCAGGTTTGGGGGGTCCAAACACTGGTTCTCATGCTTGTGTGGCAAGCATGTTTTCTACTGAACCATGTCCCTGGCCCATATTTTGTTTGTTTATTTATTTATTTACTTTGGTTTTTAAAATATTTTATTTTTATTTTATGTGTACAAGTGTGTTGCTTGCATGTATGTGAATGCACCCATGTCATGCAATGCCACAGAAGGTCAGAAGAGGGCTTTGGATTCTCCTGGAACTGGAGTTAAGGACGGTTCCTAGCCGCCATGTGGGTGCTGGGAATCGAACCCAGGTCCTCTGCAAGAGCAGTCAGTGTTCTTAACCGCTGAGCCTGCTCTCCAGTCCTTATTTATTTATTTTTATTTTATGTGTATGAGTGTGTTCCCTGCATGTATGTAAGTGGGCCCATGCATGCAATGCCTATAGAGGCCAGAAGAGGGTGTCAGATCCCCTAGGAACTGGAATCACAGATGGTTGTTAGCAGCCAGTGCTCTTAACCGCTGAACCATCTCTCCAGCTCTATTTTGGGTTTTTTGAGATAGGGTTTCCTATACCCCAGACTGGCCTTGAACTTGCTATGTAACTGAGGATGACCTTGAATGTTTGATCCTCCAGTCTCTACCTTCTGAGTGCTAGGATTACAGGAATTCACCACCACATCTGGATGTTTATATATTATATGTGTAATATGTATTTTATTTTTTGATATTTATTTGTGTGTGTGCATGAGTGTATGTGTGTGTGCATGTGCCACACACGTGTGTTGAGGTCAGAGGACAACTTGTGAGGTTCCTTCCACCATGTGGAATTGAACTCAGCTCATCAGGCTTGGCAGTAAGTGACCTTACCCACTGAACCATCTTGCCAGCCTGATGTCAAATTTAAATATAATTTTTTTAGTGTGCTGAGATGCAGGGTTTAATGGATTTATTTAAAAAGATATCTCTGACTGCTGTGTAAAAAAAAAATGAGATATCCATTGGCGAAAGCCGAAGGAGAGAAGCCAGTGGGAAAGAGAGGGAGCTGGCTGAGGTGTTGGGCTTCCTTGGGCTCCCCAGCATGAGGCCACTTTTCCTTCTGTCCTTGCCATTCTTTGTGCCCTCTCAGACCTAGCCCCTGTCCTCCTTGCCCTGTGGCTCCATCCAGCCCTGAGACCGACCTCAGGCCGCAGGTGTGTTGTCCAGGATGGGGTTGGAGCGCTCCACCAACCACGAAGAAGGTGCTACATTGTTAATAAGGTTCCAGGGACCCAGCTTGATAGGGTGTGGGGGTGGTTTCTGCACATTTACTAACTCTGGCTTCTCCCAGCCCTGGCCTGCCCCTCCCTCCACTTCCTGCCCTTCATCTGCTCCCGGGGAAGGAGGGAGCTCTGCGGGTGGGGGAAGCACGCGCCACCTCCAAGCTCCATCTCGGGAAATAGCAGCCATCCATCATGACCAGTGGAGCCCATCAAACTCCACAGGCAGAGCCATAAATTGCAGGGACACTGTGGCTTTGGGACACAGGGAGAGAGGTGGGGTGTGTGTGTGTGTACTAGAGCTCCTGGGAGGCTGTGTGCGCACATGCTTGGTACTCAAACATACCAGCCTTGTTATATCTCAACTACTCCAGGGTTGACCAGCCACAGCCACAGTTGGGCACCTTACAGAGCCCCCCACCCCTAGCCAACTCTGCCATCTGCCATTGGAGACCCACTTCAGAATTAATAATCTGGGGCTGTCCTCCTCCTGCCCTTCTGGAAGCTTCTGGGCTGCCTCATCTTCCACTGTGGCTGGTGTGTCCTTGGGGAAAGCAAGTTTGCTATTTTAGCCTAGGAGAACATAATTAGGGAGGCAGAAATGAGGCAAACAACACTGTATTATGCATCCCACGGCCAAGTAGTTATGATCTTTGGATTTCCCATCAGGCTTCTTTGCAGGGGTGGCAGCTCTGAAGTTGGTGACTGACCTCATTCAAGTACACCTGTTTATTGACTGTCCCCCATCTGCAGAGTCTGGGCTGGGGGCTCCAGAGTGGGAGAAGGGACACAGGAGAGGCAGTGGGCGCTCCCACTGTGGGAGAGGGACTGGGAGCAGTTACAGGTCGGTCGTGTCGGAAGCCATGGTGCCTGTGTCTGGCCTGGCCTGTGGGCTGCATCGGGGGCCACCTGACTCAGAGCCAG